AACACATTATTTGTATTATTTTCTGGTTCTCCATTTAAGTTGTAAAAATGTCTCAAACAGTCCAAAGTATTTCTCACCATTAATAAACAAGATAGTCTCATGAATTATAAACATGTGCACTGTTTATTCGACATCAGTGGTAATCCCTATGGATTGAACACACAATAAAGATGCAGCGGTGAATTTGCTAATAGCTGCAGAATTGAGACGTTTGCCTGACATACTGAAAAACTGTGAATAAAAATCAACAGATCAAAGCATGAAAGGGAGATTTTTAATTGAATACGAAGATGTGTTGGATGAATTAATAATAACTTAAGTTTTAAGAAAAAAAAACTGTCAAAATTTAAGATCATTAGACATAAAAGAAACCTTCCAAAGCATGCATAAGAAAGTAGCTCCAAAACATTGATATCATGAACAAGCAGAAATTAAATGAAGATGAGATAAATTCACTGGTGTTTGATCATCACACCCTGCTTTAAATATACTTATATTCTGTATTCTAAAATGTACAGTGTAATTAGTATAAAACAGCTGTAGGATCTGTAATAATATTTTGATTAAATTATGAGCACTCCAGGTAATTTATAGAGAAAACAAAATTCACAAGGAAAGAAGGAGGGGATCAATCTGATCCGGTATCAGTTCCCATACAAAGGCTGTGATCCAGCCTGCAGACATTTATGATTGATTAATTGGTTAAGTCTTCAGCCTCTGCATGCTCCTTTCCTAACTTTATGCTACTGTGGAACAGATTACCTGAACGGAGTCTGATCTTATGAGACACAAATTAAAAACACATGAATTCGCTCAGGGGATTGATTCCACAGTTAGCAGCTCTCTGGCTAAAGTACTTTTTAACAACCACCTGCTCTTTGTTTGAAAATATTTAACACTAGAAATACCACTAAGCAAGATGGCAAAATGGAATATTTAAAAAAAGACTTTGCAAAAGAAAGCTCATTTATGATCTACAATACAACTAACTTAATTAAAGATTTGAAAAATCCCTCTAATTAAGAGCAGAAGGATTATATAGCCAGGGGGTAAAAAGACGACAGTGAGCTTTATTATTATTATTTTTTTTATTGTTTTTATCTTTTATTACTTATCAAAATAACATATTTAACTTAGTTTTATTGATTTGATTGTGTAAATGTTATTTTTATCCATGTTTTAGCTGTTTTCTTTTTACCCGTTCTGATTTATTTTTTCTCTGTACAGCACTTAGGTCAGCTATTAATAAAATCATTTACTGTAAGATTGTTGATCTGCAAATAATTTATATAAAAAGTCTATACATCATTAATAGAGTCAAAATGCAATTTTAGGTGCAGGATTGTTGAACTGAAATGAGCATAATTTTTGTTTGAAAGAGCTCCGCTTTATATAAAATTAATAAATATCTTACTTTATTATCCCTAATTCATATTTTGTAATAAAGCATTTTGAACTCATATTTTCACTTATTATAATGGACATTATTATTAAGCAGAGGGTATTGCAATACATTCTAATTAAGACTTTTTTAGATTATGGATTAATAGATTAATAATCGGATGGTGAAATACAAGTAATATTTTATAAAGAATTTAAACCAAGTGAAGCTAAAACTGTTCCCTTTGAAGGAATTTTGGATTGAGCATATTCATGGACAAAAAACGCAATTTTAGGAGAAGGTTCACCAATTCAATTCAGTTTATTTATATAGCGCCAATTCACAACACATGTCATCTCAAAGCACTTCATAATTCCAACACATCATACAGTAAAACTGATTCAAATATTTCTATCTTAGGAAAACCAGTTGATTGCATCGACTTACACCAAGCATGCTTGTAGCGACAGTGGAGAGGAAAAACTCTCTTTTAACAGGAAACGGGCCAAAAGGGCATCACCACACCTAAACTTCTAGCTTCAGTCTAACTCAATGAACATTCATCTTCAGAAGATCTATCTTGATTTTACAATTGATCAAAACTGTCAAATTATTGTTTTCTACATTGAACATCATTAGCTGTTAGCATGATATGGTAAAATAGGTTATTTCGATTGATTTTAACAGGGAAAAAAACACTAAAACAAGACATTGGTCTAAGATTGAGTAAGCAAAACTTGCTAAAGCATTCATTGGGTTCTGCCTCGTCTGCAGTCAGGGAACGCCTCACAAACTTGGATATCAGTCCAAGACATTCCAACATGTTGGATTTCCAGGATATCTTGGAAACTTATCTTAAGGACTAAATGGGCAAAAATCAAGCTTATTATTATGCTGTTTGAACCAGCCTCAACATTACCACTAAAGAAGCATTCAACAGTTTTAAACTGTCTGTGTCAGCATGTTTGGCACAGAAAAAGATTTACAAATAGCTAATAAAGTGATTGATAAGCTAACCGTTAGCCGCTAATTTTGCAAAAAAACTTTGGACCGTCTTTTAAGCTTACTATCTGCACCTAAACAAAAGGCTGATTTAGGTGTTTAGTCTTTAATTCATGGTTTTAGATGCATGTAGCCTTTAGTGAAAACACAAAGTCAAGTAAAAAGAAAAAAAATGTAGGCGAGTCAACCCTGGCGTGGAATACTGTAGACTGATTAACACCAAGCAACACATAGAATCTGTGTATATACTGTAATATGTTTCTAGATGAGTGTTTGTTAAAAAAAGCCCTCAAATGTAAATGTCAGCCATAAGACAGGTTACAGGTTTGCATAACCTCCTCCATATCCTCCATTTACTTAACACATGCCTGCCACAGCATCATCTCTGCGGTAAGCAGCCAAGTTTACTTCCCTTCCACAGTGCAGCTGTCTGTGACCTGCAGCAACCATCTAACCCCTGCAGCTTCCCCCTTGCTGTGAGGGAACATGAGTTTTTACATGGAGGTGAAAGAGCTGCACATGCATTCACTCAGAGGTACACACGTGCAATGATGATTGTTTGCTTTTACATGAGGAAATTATATTACCTGCATGATTCACCCCACCCCAAAAGAAAAAAAGAAAATAATAACCAGCTAATATGAGGAAGAAGATAAAAAAGGGTAAAAGAAGGAGGAAGTGGGGAGCTGTTATGACAGATGGGCAGGAGGCTGTAGGAAGCTAAAGCTAATGCCATGTGAGGAAGAAGAGGGGAGGAAGAAAATGGTAAACTAAAGGTTGTTTCTCAGATGGTTTCCAAAGCTAAAATATTTCGGTTTATTACATTTCCGCTGTAAGGTTGATTTTTTGATAGATAGTTACCTCTTCCTCATCCTTTCATCATACCATATTCCCTCCATACTTATTGGAACCAGTGTAAGAAGCCTTAGAAATAAAAGCTTCATGGGTTTAGTTTAATCTTACAGTGAAAATGTAAACATTGGCCTTCGGATTTACGTTTTTTTTTTTTTTTTTTTTTTTTTAAGAAATTCCCTTACTTATAAACATACAATAAATAAATAAAATAATTTTTTTTGGGTTGTCATCACTTTGCCTTATTAATATCTTTATACCTCAACTGCCAAAATGAATAAATCTGCCAATGCAGCTTTATGGGTAATAAAGATCAAAGTTTATGAACCAAGGTGAAAGCAATCAATTGCTGTATAATAACAGTGCTAATGCTCTTTTTCACTTTTTAAAATGAATTTCTGCTACAATACTCCATCGTTAATGAATGGATGACGCCAAGATCATTTTATGAAAGATATCTCTACAGGGGTTAGGTTGTAGATATAGAGCTTGCATATTGTTATCTTCAGGCACCACAGAATACATGTCAAACTAAATGATACTACTTATACAGTATCTAGGGGTTACTTTATTGTATGTCTTGTGTCATGTTCGTTGGTTGCGCTGTTCTTTTTAAATAACACGAAGCAGACTGAAGATGTTTTATCGTTATCTCCCTTTTATCTTCCTTCTTTCATCTTTTTTCCTTTTTTCCCCTATTTTTCCCTTTCCTGTTCTACTTACATTGCAGTGTACATATAATATGTAAAACTCCCTGCATAAATATAATAAAGCAATTTATATGCATAAATCAAGCGGAACACTATGGCGATAGCCGTACTGCTCCACTTGTGAAAGTGAAATCTGTTGGGCTCTTTTGGACATCAAGACAATTATTCTTATTGCCACAAAACCAGAGAGGACACTAAAGAATATATAGAGCTTGCATGAAAGAAAAAAAAATGGATGCATAGACTGAGGAGCCAAGGGAATGAAAGGATGACCAACAAATTGATATGTTTGGATAGATTGAACAGATGGAAGTATGGGTGGATTACAACAAAAGGATAAATTGAATATGTTCAAAAAGATCAAAGGGGGAAAAGGGTCAGGATGATGGCTGGAAACTGGATGGAAATTTATGAACTAGATATGCAGCTCTATGATTTTAAGTAGAACTAGGTTTTTGTTTTCCTTTATTTTGATTTTTTTAACCTTGAAATAACTGAATATTGACTTTTTCTGACGGGTTATGATAGAACCATTGATCAACCTTCCATGATGAAGTTTCAACACTAAATAAGCAGAACTTCGACGAACCACAAACTCTTAATTTAGCTATCTGCAGAGAGAAAAACAGAAATACTAAACTAAAACTGCACTCTCCTTACTCCCAAAGGCTTTTACTCACAATTCATCATCTCCCATCTGACTAAACCAATCTGCAATGACAGCAAACCGACGGTAAAAAAAGCATCAACATTAGAGATAAACCCGTTCTCACGTTGAGCACAGGGATAATCCTGCATTTAAAGCCAATAATAAAAAGTGAAACACTGCTGAGAAGAATCTATTGCTTGTATAGAGGCAGGGGTCCCAGCATTGTTATGAGCAGATCTGCTGACAGGTTGGCAGGTGAAGAGCTCAGAGGTAATGAGTAGAAATGCATCATGTGTTTGTGAGGTTCTGAGAGGCGCCATTTGCTCCCGATTGTTTTCAGGAGCAAATTTCCTTGTTAATAGGAAACAGTGTTTCCTATTAACAGGTGTGCGTTCATGTTTCCTACCTTTCTGACCGAGTGCTGCGCCGGTTCTTGTTGAGGATCCAGAGACGCTGATGGAGCACTCCATCTTGGCCGTTTCCCACGGATACACACTGGTGGCGTCGGAGTGGATGGCGATGGAGAATGACGGGCCTGCAAACACCGAGCGCACGGCTTTCCAGTGAGCTTAACATTTAACAACAGGATCCACACATCAAAGGAAGTGATCAAAAAGATTCATTTAAGCACCGAGATTTTACCCAAACCCACGTAGAACTTTAATTCATTCCCCTGAGGCCAAAAAGCAGATGTTTAAAGCGTAAACACCATCTTAAAAAGGCAAAAGGCACAGCCGGTGATTTCTCTGATATTTAAAGAAAAAAAAATAAGGCAGAGCTGAGCTTTAAACCCAACATTTCATAAACAACACATTCATATTTGACATTTAGACGCCTTAAACCTTGCAAAAACCTGCAGAGTAACAGCTGTTTGCGGATTGGCTCTCTATTCTACTCATGCTTTAAAGTAAATTATTCAATGCATTTTTCTTTTGGCCTGCCATGTGCTTCAAGTGGATACTCCCAGTGGAAGGAGCAAAATAGAGTGCAGCCAAGTCCGCCCAGTCGCACATTGAAATGTGTTAAAAGCCGCGCTGGCCCTCAGTGCTTAAAAAAAAACAGGCTGTAATGTTGTGAGAAGCTTATATTTCTGTTTGTTCAGTATTTTTCTGCTACATTTTGTGGGACCTCACATCATCAGATTCTTTTATTTATTTTTTTTAAATCAAGAGGAGGAGGTTGGGAACCGATCTGAAGCATTTTGTCCTTTTTTCCTAAAAGCTGCAATTTCTCATTTTGCTTTGGATGCTGGTCGATTTAAACTGTATGTTTGTGGCTACAAAGGAACCATATATAAAGTAGTGTTGCACCGAAACCGATGACAGTATCGGGCCGGGCACCGATACAGCAACTATTCAACTATCCATTCCAGGTAGGCAATAAAAAGTTCTACTGGATTCACTTTGTATTAGCAGCTTGACAAAGCCATGATGGCAATTATTTTAAATCCAAGTAGTATGCAGTTCTTCATATACTCACACATCAATTTCAAACAGATGGTATCGCTGGGGTATCGGCCGATACTGTACAGCCAGGTATCGGGGCCAAAATACGGCATCAGTGCAACACTAATATAAAGTCCTGCTGCATCTATGAGGTATAAGCATCTCTAATGATTGGATCTCTAATGATTCCACCTTTGCTGAACATTTTGGGATAAAGGCTCAAGATTCATGGCCAGTTCCTCAGTCCTGTAAGCAACTTTAAGCATTCAGTCTGCTGAGGTGAGTGAGTCGTCATTAGTGCAGACAGTAACTTCAATTCAAAATTCATAAAATACTTTAAAGCGAAAATAAATCTTATGTAACTCTCATTTTTTTAACCAGTTGTTGTAGGTGTTGATAGCAGTTGGTAGGAGCGATATCCTGTAGAGGTCTGCCTTGCACCGGTTCTGGGAAGAATCTAACTGAAGACACTTAGTTGTTGCTTAAAAATCTTCATATTGTTTCCATTTACAGTTCATATCAAGTCACAGCTCTTATATTTGGAAAGAAATTCCCTAATTAGGGTATCATTTTTGCAAAATCTACAAAACCCTTTTAATGTAAAAACATGTGCTTATTAAACATATCCAGTCTTCATATATAATTTTCATATATTATCTGGAATTGGTCCTACTAAACTAGAAGTCTTATTAGTTTCAGAAAAAAAAAGAAAATAACCTTGCTTTGGATAGACAGACAGGTTGGGCTACGAGTCGTAACTGTTGCCCAAGTCAGCTAGTCCTCCAGTACTTTGTCTTTAAGTGTTTAAGACAGTTAGGTTGGTGAGAGCAACATGAAGAGATAAGTTCACCAATCTCTCACAAAAAGTCTGATTTTCTTGCATAAAATTCACGATTAAGCTCATTTAGGTGTGTGGAGAATTTTTCTAAGTGCTAGGAGTCAAAGAAAATAACTTAAAAAGCTGCAATCATGCGATCATGCGATCATGTCCCTTGTCTAAACAAAAGTTGATCATAAGAGTTAACCTGTTTTTTTTAATTAGGACAGAAATACTTTCTCGCTTTGTCTTACATCCCAGAGCTACACTTGAGAGTATTTTGTTTGCATCTGGTTTTATAGAACAACAAGAGGTAGATCAACATGGAAAACATCTTTCCAGCCTATGATTGTCGTTTACTTTGTTTCATTAAATCAATTTACCCATGACCAGCTTTTTTTTTTATTCCAGCTAATAACTAGCCTCCCCACAGCATGATGCTGCCACCACCGTGTTTCTAATGCATTAGTGTGACCAGGATTACCGACAGGCAGGTTTTTATTTCTTGTTTGTTTGCTGCATCTCCTAAATGGTTTAAAGCCAACTAGCAAAGTACTTTTTGTGGCCTTGTTTCTTCCTTCTCCACTAAATATTTCATTAAATGTAGTTTATGCATGCAAAACAGATCCTCTTTAATCGTTTGTCATCAAATAAAGGATTAAATCCTTATGTAAAATATATGATATATGGTATATTTAATCCAATTAGTTAATGGTATCAAAGCTCTACGTTCCATTTCTATTATCTTTTATAAAAATAATGTTCATTATTCAAGCTTTTTATGTAATGAAACCAGGCGGATTGCATTGAGTAATTCACTTTGCAGCAATCCCTTATGTTAGGCATGCACATGGTGGCAGTGTAAAGGAAAAACCCATTTTAACTAACTTAATCATCTGCTTTTTCACTAATATTCTCATTGGACCATCTTCTTTTGAGGACATATCTAAATAAAACCTGGAAATTTATTTAATTATCTGCATGAGAGCAAAGAATGTCAAAAAAAACCCCAAAAAAACAGGGCACAATCTTCTTTTTTTATTCTCATTTACAAATGTTGGCGTTCCTACTTTGCTCCCACCTCATATAAAATCCAAATAAAACAAAGCTAGGACCCCACGCGAAAGGTTTATGTCGAATATGAGACTTTGCATTCCCACATAAGCTAAATGCACAAGCAGGAAAGAAGACAACACCTCTGGAACATTCAACATACAGCTGGAAGAATGGAGGACGAAACGCTCAAAACAGGGACGAGTGAGCGAGCTGAGCTTCCACCCCTTGAGGCAGGAATATGGGGGCTCTTAAACTGCTCAGATTGCAGCTTGCCGACTGTCGATGTGGGTGTGTTTGTGTGTAAAGTGGGCTTTGTTGTGTGGGGTCAACTTAAAATATTCGACTTGGACACACACTCAGACACTTGAAAGATTCCACATATACTGAAGAGAGCAGAGACAGAAAAAGAAAGCAGCGGTGCAGATCTTCGAAGCCGGCTGATTGGCCAAAGGGCTTCACTTTGAAGATGTCCCAGAGAGAGAGGAGGAGGAGGAGGAGAGGTAGAAGAGCGACTGAGTGAAAGATGGAGCGGGACAAAACAATGAGATATACGTGAGGCTTAAGGCTCCTGCTCTCCCCAGAGAAAGTCCCAAAGACGGCCCTCGATTTATCATCTGGTTTTCCACATGTTTTATACCAAGCTGTCATTTACCCACCCGCCTTCAGCGTCATTACTCCCCTCCTACAGCCCTTAAGCGTCTTTCCCTCCTCCAAATCTCTAAGATAATTCAAAACATGGCATCTTATGTGTAGGAACTAATCTGGGACACAAACGGCTCCAAAGCAGAGTTCTGACAGGGAGCAAACATATGAAGCATGTGTCCTTTTCTAAGGCCTGAGAGAGAGCAACCAGACATTAGTGAGGTTTCTAATGATGCTACTCCCACTTCAGACATACTTCACCATCTCAAACACTTTTAACCCTTTAGTATCAAGCTTTACGAATCACTATATTCTCTTATTTTGTTAGTTTCAGACAAGTAGCAGAGAATAAATAGAAATCTTCCTAAATTTATATGAATAGAGCCAATGTAAAAGATCACCCACATAATAATGCCAAAAACAAAGCTGGATAACATTAGTTTAAATGTGTCCAAACAGATTTTTGTAGCTTTTCAATTGTTTACATCAGCTCCTTTAATATTATTTGTTGAAGTATTTGAGCCCAAATTTCACAAATACTGTCTAACTGTAATTTTAACAGTAGATCAAAAAGCTGTAGCATAATGAGACCAACACTGTCTGGAACTTGGAGATGGTGCGACATAAACACCAACTAGGTGTTTCTGATGAGCTGCAAAAATTAAAAAACACCCAAAACCAAATGAGATAAAAAGCTGCAAACAAAAACGGTGCAGTCAACAAACATGGAGGCAAAAAAAAAGTTAAAACAAAAGAAAATTCTGAAAGTACTCCAGACTATAGAGGGAATCAAACAAAAAGCAAACAATATTGGACAAGGGCCTCCGTACAAATGGGAGGTCAAGCTTTAATGCAGTTTCACTATCAGATCCGTTCCCGGAAGCACGATCGGTAGCATCAGTTTATTTGCGCATGTGCAAGCAGATATTCATCCAGGTCCCAATAAATAATGTAATTATTAGGGGTGTAAATCACACCCATCATTGCGATTCGATTCAGTATCGATTTTCTGACCCAACGATTTGATTATTTTCGATACTCAAGAATACACCACAATACGATACGATTTGACTAATTGGTTCATTGTTTTTTTATTTATTTATTTAGTTTTTTTCCTTACAGGTTAAATAATTTTTCAAACTTGAAATAAATCAATGAAAGCTGTAATATCGTTATACATTTTATTTGAGAAATAACAGCAAATAACAAGTAGAAAAGTTGTACTCCACCTAGGCCTATTAAAACCTCATTCACTGAAAATAATGTTATAGTTATAGACTCTGAAAGGCTTTGCATCAGAAAATACTGCACAAAATGAGTGCAATGAGTTCAATTCAATACCTCGGCTCCAGACGTCCCCGCCCCCTCCGCAGACACTCCGCTGCACCTCTCCCAAATTGTAGCTGACTGCAAACGGTGCCGCAGACAGGAGGCCGGCTTGTTTTGTTTTTATGACCGAAATTGCGGAAAACAGCTCGTGAAGTTTTACCCGCTAGAAGAGCGAGGTGCGCGAGAACGCTGGGACCCCTTTTCCACCTGGATCCCTGCTCTTTTTGGTCCTTATGTCCCTCCGTA